CCGATCCCCGAAGCCGCGGCAGGGCCCGAGGGGCCTCTCCGCTGGCGGGTGGGCGGCACTGACCTTCCAGGGACGGGGACGTGGCCCAGCGCAGTGCCGCGTCCTCTGCAGGCACGTCCCGAGGACCCCGTCCTCCCGCCGCAGGCCCCCTCGGCCGCGCAGCGCCTCTCGCTCTTAGCTTTACCTGTGCGGGGCTGCCGATTGGTAAGGTTTGGCAGAAGGAGCCTGCAAATGGACTCCGCGATGAACCCTTTCGCCTTCCGTAGTGGGACGGGCTTTGCCTTTAAAGGAAAAGTGACGTGAGGGGGCGCGTTTTTCCGGCCAGGGGCTTAAAGTCCTCCGACAGAAAATGCGTAGGGCGAGGGGAGGTGCCTGCGGCTGGTGCTGCTCCCCTGGCCTGCGGCGGCGGAGGCGGGGCGAACACCGGTGTGCTGGGTCGTGAGGCGATCAGAGCATCCCTTCCTTTGGTCCAGCCTTGGTGTGGCTGCGTCCCCACTAAGGCATAGATCATTCATACACACTCTTTTTCTTTAATAAAATACTATTTTGATGTGATGCTTAATAAACTATTTCATAAACGTCTTTATAATTATTGTGAGTTCGGGAGCGCTGCCTCTATGTGCAGGTGAGCAGGCCGACTCGTGAAGGAGAGGTTCCCCTCGGGTCCCAGGTAAGCTGCGCGGGGAGGTTCACGTGGTGCGGTAACCGTAAGAGCTTGGAGCTGTCAGCGTTTAACCCAGGGGGAGACCTGCCGCGTGGGTGTGTGGTTTGTGTAGACTCCAGAGCAGTTCTAACCCTAGGTGCGCACCGTGCACTTGGTTGCTCCCCTGCCTGCTTGGGGTCTGCCCCCGCCCCTTTCACCTCTTCACTAGGAAATTCCACAGTGGCGGAGTGGGAATCTATGATCGTGACTCCGTAAAGCCACCTGGTTAGACAATACTTTGATTTATATGGAAGCACACTGCATTTATTGGATACTTTGTAGTCCAGCAGAAGACGTCCCTTTTTTCTATTAAACAACTCACATCACGCTTTACCTCCTTCATTACTGATGAGGAAGCTAGTTTAGCCTTAAATAGCTCCTTGAGAGCAAAGACAAGTCTGTTTCCTCATCAAATCCACGGCGTCTGGCACAGTAGATACTGAATATTTGTTGAAGCAGTAAAGTGGTAAAGCCAGAAAAAACTGTGACCCAAAGGCTAAGGTTAGTGTTTGTATATTGGCCTTTTCCAAATTAAACAAGAATTAAGAGTTTCATTTTATTCAACCAGAAATTCTACCATTTCCCTGTGTGCCTGCCGGCTCTGTTCTAAGTGCTTTACCTCTATAAGTCATTTAGTCCTCAGGAAAATCTAATTACCCTGTTTCACAGATGAGGGAGCTAAAGCATGAAGAAGTTAAATAATTTGCCCAAAGTCACACAGCTTGTAGCAGGGTCAAGATTTTAAAACAAAACAAAACAAAAAAGTAGTGCCAGAGTTGGTGTTCTTAATGCTGAATGTCCCTTACGAAATGAGTGCTTCAGTGTAGCTGAGTCTAAAGATACTAAGTGAAATGTGTGAAGGTACTAAGCGAGAGCTCTTCTCTTGGGCTCTGCTTTGACCTCAGACTGGAATGGGATGTGGCAGCTTTTAAGGAGTCCTTGAGAATCTTGGGCTCAGCTCCAGTGGTGGTGGACTTTGAAGACCCTTGAATAACAATAGTAGAGGGGGCAACTGGCTCTTTCAGGACCCTTCCTGTACTTATGGCCTCTGCTTGCTAAGGCACCCTACTGGGTTTGGGGATGTAATAGGACTAAGTCACAAAGCCCCTGTAAACTATCTGATTCCACATGTGCACAGAATGGGACTCAGAAGTACATAGGGCTTTCCCAATTGTTACTGTTTCTACTCGTAATTTACCAAAAAAAGACAAAGCCTAAAATATAAAACTGTAACTCTATGATTCAAATCCTGGTAACCGAAACTACATTTTCTACCACAGAGTCATTTCCATGTTAATTTTCATGGTTGGTCCCTGAGTGACACAGTCGGTCCCTGAGTTTCCTCACACAATGTCTATGTTGATGCTTTGCTCTGATGAAAGATTAAAGGAAATATTCTGTCCCTCTCCTTGCCTGTTAGCTTGCAAAGTCGCCTCCCTCCCCACTGGTGTGGAGGGAACCTTCCGAAACAGGGAGGCATGTGAGACAAAAAGAGTTGCTCAGCCCAAGGTCACTGAGATTTAGTATATCTGTTCCACGAAGTCCTCACTCTGTGGGAGATTCCTTTAAAAGTTAGTATCTTGAGGCTGTACCTTCATGATGCTGCAGTGATTGCAACAAATTCCTTTAAGAAGCTAATATGATAATCCTGTGTTTATTTTGAAGTTGCTTGGATGTGGCAAAGCCTGGGTGGGGTCAAATACTCAGTATATTCTAACACAAGGAGTTGTTAATGGATTGGAGTTAGTTTACATACCCGCCCCTCCCCTTCTGCCATCAGGACAGCTTGGCTAAAACAAAAGGATGGAAGTCTATTTCATGTGAGAGCCCACGCAGTGCCAACTGAAACTGAAGCCAGTGAGAGCGTTGCCTTAAATGACAGTGACGTTCTTGTTACAGTGCCATCGAACAGCAGGGGGGATCCCCACTCTCCTGAGGGTATGCTTACCAACCTGTCCAAAGGGACGGAGAAAGCGGGGGTGTGCCCTGAGCGTGGGGTGACTCCCAATATGCTCTCAGCCCAGGACTACATGTCTATTATCACAACATATGAAAGGTGGAAGCCTTCTTACAGAATCTCTGCTGTGATCCCCAGGCAGAACTGTGATTAATCCATTCTAAACATGTAAACATCCTTACACTTGAAGGAAGAAAGGAAGGAAGAAAGGGAGAGAGAGAGAGAAAGAAAACTCCAGGCAAGGAGATTCAGCCCTCCATCAGTAGCTCATCTGGAGGTTTTAAAGGACTGGGGGAAATCTTCCTTTAAGTACCATAAATCCATCACGCAGCTACTTCTGCTGGAACAGCTGGTGACCACATCTGTGTTAAAAGCCTTCCTGCAGTCTCAAACTATTATTAGATTCAGAATTAACTTCTTTATCATGTGTAAAATTTCCCATAATGTCAGACTCCAGATGAATCATTTCTTTTATCAAAAATGATGAGGGGGGAGGGTAGAGTTCAAGTGGTAGAGCGAATGCTTAGCATGCACAAGGTCCTGGGTTCAATCCCCAGCACTGCCTCTAAAAATAAAATAAGCAAACCTAATTACAATCCGCCACCAAAAATAATAAAACATAAAAAAAAGTTATGGCACCAACTACTAAAATGTGATGGTGGCTGAGACTGAGCAAAACAAATTTGTCTAAAATGAATGACATGAATTATTTTAAAAAGCTCTCATGTCTGCTAAATGAAAGAATATTTATATATGGAAGGTCCATTTATCTTCTGTGGAAAAGTCTCTTGTGCAACCGAATGAAGCAGAAAATAGGTTCAGAAGTCCCTTTTGGAAAAACAGAAAGAGCCATATGTTTCCATTTCAAAGGTGTTGAGTTGCTGAGGTGATCCGCTAACTTTGGTCATTTTAAAACACTGAATGAAAATAATTTCCATTACCATCATAAGACGTCATGCAGAAATACAGAGAGCTAATGTGGGAAACCTTATGAAACGTGCACTGTTTCCTACTGTGTAAATCAAAGCAAAGCAGGACGGAGTTATTAGTGTTCAACATTTTAAATAAAACCCAATAATGGTTTTAAACACCCACACGAGACCTTCTGGTTACAAGACTATTTAAGGTAGACAGCACTTACAGCAAATACAATGTTAGTGGTGAAACAAATTTGTGCTGTTTCCCGGCTTTGAGGGGAATGGAATTAAAAGGAAATTATTCCGTCTTAGAAATTTCCTCAGATGTGGAGTTTCGCATGTTTACTGTAGAGGGAAGACTTTCTGCTGGACGCTGTCGTCCTTGCTTGGCTTCTCTCCCCGTGGAAGTTGCCAGGTTCCACTGCAAAGATTTTAAAGACTGTCTTGCTGGCAGCCGGGGACGTATCCGTGAACTTACCAGAGTGGAATTGAAAGCTCTCAGTTTTAATTCTTTGGGTTTTTTTTTTTTTTGCAACAGTAAATCTACCAATTTTCCAGTCAGTTGAACACCAATAGATTAATTTGTTGAAAGTCTGCATTCACAAAGAAACCTGAACTTCAGTAGCTTGAATGCCCAAAACTGCACCATGATGGTTGAAGGGTAGACACTCTTAGCAGCTTGCTGCAGGCCACTGTCACCTGCTTCTCTGCACAGGTGCTGACCCCGCTGTCCCTCTGGGGCCTCCTGACGGGGGCGCAGGAAGGCTGGGCCTTTGTGTGCTGCAGAGAACGCTTTTCCAAGCACTGGACCAGTTTTCTCCAGCAGCCACAGGAAGCAGAAGAAAGAAGAGGTTAAGGGCCACCACAGGGTCAGAATGGGCTAAATGCTGTTAACATCGGAGGTTATAGCTTTTAACAAGAGCTTCAAGAAAACTTATTTGAAGATGCAACTTGTTTCTTTTTTTGTCAACTGTTAGTTTTTTTTACCCCATTGGCAGTGACAGCTTAACAGAGTTTTTATGTGCTAGAGGTTTTCATCCTTTAGAGGACAAAAGACTGTGTTCCTAAAGGGAGGTGCAGGTGGAGGACTTTACGAAGCTTCCATGACTTTCAGATTGGGAGCCTTAAAATAGACTCCCTGCTTGGCTAAATCAAAAATAATCTGCAAGCGATGTTTTAAAAAAATCCCTATACGGAAGCAAGGACTGCTTCAGTGGTCACATACAGAGGCTCAAATTTCTAGAAGCTTCTTTGTGTATATTTTGCTTTCAACCATTCTAGTACAGTTTTCCCCGTTGCTATTCAAAATACCAGAGAGGCCTCCTCTTAAATGTCCATACATGTATTTCCTTAAATTTCGAGCATCCTGCTGGGAAGAACTAGTTGTTTACTGTACTTTATGTAAGCAGAAAGGATGACCACAGATTTCTGTACATGGCCTCTATGCTCTTAGCATTCTGTTAGTCCACGTTTTCTGTTCAAGGACTAAAATGTTATGGAAATTGATCTTTTAAAGAGAGCCATGTAAACTACAGCCTTTCAAGTGGAAACCCACACCCTTCTATATGTGTGATCACCCAGCACTGATGCTAAGTGTCTCGCATTGTACAAAGGCCTCATGTATAGTTTAGCTGCATTTCTACCATAAATGAGGTTTGATTTTTTTTAATTAAAAAAATTAAACATAATTTTTAAAGGTTATTTACAGTTATTACAAAATATTGGCTATATTCCCTGTGTTGTACGGTACATCCTTGAGGCTGGAGTGTTTCTGAAGGCATTTTAGACTTTTATTTAACTGAGGTTTTAAAATGCGGCACCTGGGGTTCCAGAGCCATGTGTTGTACCTGATGCTCAGCAGGGTAAATGTAACCTCCATATCCAAGTGCCGGACCAGAATCTGCATTTGATAGCATGACGATTTCAGGTATGGCGAGGACTCATTTAATTATTATTTGGGAAATAAGATGTTTTCTATAAGAGAGTTTTCCTGATACCTAAGCCTACCTCTTAAATGAACACAAAACTTCTTACCATTTTGAATAAAAGTATTTTATATAATGTATTACAAACTCTATTGCTTTCTGAAATATGGTAGGATAAATATTGTTTTCAAGAATGGGAGTGTGGGGGGCATATAGCTCAGAGGTAGAGCACGTGCTTAGCATGCGTGAGGTCCTGGGTTCAATCCCCAGTACTGCCACTAAAAAATAAATAAACAAACCTAATTATACCCCCTACACACACAAAAAGAATGGGAGTAGCATTACAACTACACATCATCATGCAGTGGTGTATCAGACAGTCACGCTGTACTAAATGCCACAACACTAGGTGGCCCAAACTGTCATGGATTTTTGAATTTGTGATTCTCCTTTTTGTAGATTTTCTTACTCCTCTCTTGCCATTATACTGCCCACTATTTCTTGTTGCTATAAGTTTTCACCTAGCTTTAATAGTTCGTTCTGTCTCCTACAGTTCTGCTCAGGGTCGAGTTCAGTCTCACTCGGCCTAGTGCAGGGGTTGCTTAAGGGGACCTGCAGCTCTCCATCCCACCTTATGTCGAGTCAGCCTATACACCGCGCCCGGGGTAACCTTGCTTGAGTAAAGCTCCTTTCGCACCACTGCCTTGCTAGAAAAACTGCTGGTAACCTTCCACGGCCTGCTCGCCAAAATAGATGGTGATTCTCCACTGCAGCCTTTGTCGTCCTCTGTCATGATCTCTAGTCTATTGTGGTTGACAAGTCAGTCAATCCACCTGCTCTGCCCAGGCCCCTCCCTTTCTCAGTCTCTGCTCCTGGATATGATCCCGGAGAGGGGAGCCTTACAGACCAAAAGTCCTGCCCCCATGCCCTCTCCTGTTCACAGCTGATTTGGATCAGGAGCCTGACCTGCAGGAAACCTTCAGTCCACATGCTGTGACAGCTTGCAAAGTCAAACTGGGAGAACCGCTGGATGTCAAAGGGCACCTGGGACAGAGATACTAGTTGGATATCCATCACATCCATTCTCTTCCATCCCACGTTTTAGCTGAGCACATAGCTGCCCAGAATAAAGACAGTATGTGCAGCCTTCCTTACAGATAGGTGGGGCCAGGTGACCATGTTCTGGCCGACAGAGTATATGTGTGCATGGGTGTGAGTATATATGTATGTTTCTAGACATATACATACATATTTATTCCCTGTAAGTCCTGGGGAAGTCCTAGTTTATGCCTGTTATTCTGGTATAATTATTAATAGCATCCTTTTTAACTCTCACAAGGGCTCCAGTTAAGGTGGCATGTTACATGGTCACCCTAAATAAGCAGATGTGTGCAGCTTCCAGAAAGTTTTCTCAGAAGGAGAACATGCTCTTCTCCGCTTCCTCCTTTCTGCTAGGCTCAGAGGTGCCCATGACAGCTGGAGCCTGCTTGGCCTCCCGGAACAGGAGGGCTCGGGGACTGGAAAGTGCCCATTGAAGACAGGGGAGCTGGGGTCCTGACATGGGCGAATGGTGCTGCGGGATCCCTGACAGTAAGAGAAACGAGCTTTCATACTGTGGCTGAATCTGCTCTTAACCAGCTCGGTGCTTTGTTTCATGGTCCAAGCCAATGCCACGTGCTGGAGTTCTTCCGGGAGGAGTCGGTCTGCAGAGAGAAGTCCGACGGGGAAATAGACAAGCACTGAGGTGAGCCTGGGGAGCCCTGGGAGGAAGAGGGTAGGAGCCTTCATTTCTACCTTTCTGACTCTGATCCCCTGGCGTCCAGTGGGCTTCACTTCCTGTCTTCAGATGACTCTTAGGTGAACTTTCTTATGGTAACTCTCTGTTGATTAAAACCAGACACCTTCACAGCTTTAACTCTCTCCTCCCACCTCTGCTGAGCAGCTGGATGCCTTTGCTGTGTCCTAACTGTGTTTGGGGCTGCCCCAAAGTGACAGCTGCTTTCCCAAGCAAAGGTGTTGGCATGGATGGAAGGACCCAACCGGACTGAGAAACACATCCATTCTGTGAACATGACAGAGTCAGAGAAGAAGACCCAGGGCAGCGGGGATTCTGTGTGGGCAGAGGGGTTCGAGAGCCCCGTGGCGGACAGCTGGCCGGTGAGAACGGCTGAGGACGGAGAGTGCCGACCTGGAGCAGGTGACAGGTGAGCCAGTTTGTTTCCTTAGAAACTTTAGAAACACTGTTGCCAGTGAAAGAACCCAGTCTCAAAAGAACACATTGTTTTTCCATTTATAAGAAATCTCCCCAAATGGCAAATATATAGAGACAAAAATTAGATGATGTTTGCTTAAAACAGGGGGTAGGAATGGGGAATGATTGTAAATAGAAGTTTTTTTCTTCTAGGGCAATAGATGTGTTCTAAAATTAGATTGTGGTGATGGTTGCACAACTATATATTTGCTAAAACTCATTGAATTGTACACTTAAAATGGGTTGATTTTACAATATGTAAGTTTTATGGTGTATATTGATATTATATATCCTTAAGGCTCTTTTTTAAAAGCCAAAAGAAACATTATTTTAATAATAAAGTAATTACAGTGCTTCTAGAAAAATCTTACTATATAAGATTTTTTCATTTTACCAAATTTTTATTTCTAGTATTGCATATATTTTAATCTCAATGACCTGTGAAATGCTCATTGGGATATTAAATACAAGCTGTACTTTTATTTTCCTAAAATTATTGTTATGCAAAAAAGCAGCTTGTATTTATTTCAATTTATGTGGTATTTGATAAGAATGTATTTATTTTTCCAGTGAGTCAATATTCTGTGGAACTGAAGGTGCTCAGATTTTATACTTTTGTCTTAGCCATTACAACATATAGTTATAGCAGAATTTTCATGAAGTTTACATTTAAAAACTATCATAACTTTAGAGCATCATTTGTTTACTGCTGACAGAGTATCATGTAAAATGAAAGTAAAAATGACAGCTAAATTTTGCATTAGGTTTTGAATCTGTTTCAGTGGGTGATATTTTATAAACCTATATAAACATTAATGCTTATTATTCCACAAGAATATAGATTTCTTGTTTTATCAACAGTTGTCTAACGTATTCTCACGAGGGGAGGCTGGACCAGAGCTGACCCTTCATACTCAACGTGTTTGAGTGTCCAGGATGCTCTGTAAAAGCTGGATCCAGAAGTTAGTCCTACAGAATTTCCATTCTGTCGTCAGACTCTTTAGGGAAAGTCTTGTCTTGCTGGCTGGAGGGTTTCCCTCCCGGTGTCACTGTTGAATTATTCTCATGTGCCCTGAAGATGCTGTGCTGATTGGGAGTCAGGCTTCTGAGGACAGGAACTCAGCAGTTTGGTCAGTTATGTCCCTAACTCCATGACAAACAACTCGTGGGCTTCCTGAGGGGGGCAGCACACACAACCGTTAGGAACAGCTACACAGAAGAAATCTGTTCAGGACGGAGAGTCTTTGACTGTAGAAAGGATTTGTCAGTCAAGCACCAAGAGTGAGAAAAAAACAAAGGAAGTACCCGGGGTCAAATAATCGTGGGAATCAACTTCCCAAAGCCCAGCACCTGGAGTTGGTGCGACCCCTGCTCAGACCAGGAGATGCCCTCGGGACAGCGCTGGCTCAGGCTGCATGGCCCTTCTTGGAAGAGATGCTGTAACTTAGCCCCAGCCCCTGGGAACCCAGCTGTGGGAACATATCGGGAGGGGCGTGAGTGTCAGCACAGTGCGGGGGTGGGGGTGCTCAGCCAACCAAGACTGCCTGGCATTTCCCATCCCGCTCCCCGGCTGTCCCGGGCCTGCGTCCCCAGGGGTGTTGGGCTTTTCCTGCCTTTCACAACAAGTGCTGGGTCCAAGATGCTCTGGGACAATCTTTCCCTGATATTCTTTTTGATGATGGCTCCTCTCTGGTTTTACTGATGGAGAGATTCTGTCTTGTTTTTGAGAAAGAGAATTCTGGGTCAGAAAACAGCCTCAACACCTCGGAGTGGTGGTCTGAATTACAGCCTCCTGCAGATCCAACTTGGTCCCAGCCTGAAGGCAAAATAGCTTCAGTGTTTTATTAATAATGCTGCTATAATATGCGATGTATATACATGTGTGTGTACGTATGTATAGAGTTTACAACGTGCCAGCCATTCTTCTAAGCATGTTACATCTGTAGACTCATTTAGTTCTCATAAAAAGTCTGTGATTGAGCATTATTGTTCTTATATATTCTTTCATAAATAAGGAAGCTGAGACAAGAGTGGTTAAGTAACTTGCCCAAGGTCACACAGCTAGTAAACAACAGAGCTGAGATTAGAATCTAGGAGAGCTGTCTCCAGAGTTCATGCTCTTAGCTACTGTACTATAAAAGAGAGTTAAGATTATGCTGTGGTATGTTATCTATGTAATAATAACAGTGGCTTTATCATTATCAAATTGAATATATACCTAGGTCTTACTTCAAGTGAGTTATAATCCCAGAATTTCCTTCATTTCTCAGACACACTGCCAGGGAGGTGATGCTGAAAATCACCTACTAGAGAGGAATAGTTATGTTAGTTTCTGCCTTATTCTCAGAATTATTTGTTTTCCGCGTAGGGGACAGAGCTCCACTGTGAGAGTCCGGGGACCTGGGTTTATCGTCTAGCTCCGTATTTTATGTCCTGTGGTTCCTTGAGCACTTAACGTTGGCTCTGAGGACCCTCCTCCCTGAAATGGGGTAATATTGAACAGACGTGCAAGGGTCAAACAGAAGAAACTAAACCATCTCGGAAACTATAAAGCAAAATAGGAAGGCAAGATATTATTAACCTCCTGACCCCAGGTTCCCTCTGAAAGTGCGCTCATCTCACACAAGTTTCAGACTTCCGCGCTTAAAGTGAAGAGGAGCGCTGCTCGGAGGGTGTGGTCTGTGGACTGACAGAGCCAGCATCACCCTGCGGCTTGTTAGAAACGCCGTTTCAGGGTCCGCTCTCCGACCTACCGATTTAGACACTGATTGTGGGCGCGGAGCCCTGCAGGTGCATTTGATGCGGGCTTAGCTTTGAGAAGCAGTTGTGGGGTTCTGTCATTCATTCGTTCAACAAGGACTTACGGAATACCTCTAGAAGGGGCCGGTGGCCATGTCGGGAGGCGAGGACACAGATGCTGTCCTCACGGAGAGTAGGTCCTCCTTAATGACCCCCTTCTCATCCTTCAAGACGCTGTTCAAGGCGTCCTGGAGGACCCCGCTGCCCACGGAGCGGAGTCTGACTCCTGGCAACACGGGCCACGCCTACGTCTTCGGCTGAGCTCCCACACCTTTCCTCCACCTGTCGGCCGACCCGTCCCTCCAAGTTGCTCCTCCTAGCCGGTCCGTGTTCCGTGTGG